CAGCAGGACTGGGTTATTAACTAATCTGCCCCCACTCCACCCAAACATACAGCACACACACACACACAGTCCACAAACAGCACCCAGCACACGAACAGCATCCTCACAAACAGCACCCTGACAAACACAAAACACCCTCTGCTGCCCCTCCAATCTAGGCTATCTCAAACCCTCCCCCCATCCCCCACTTACCTGATCTGTAGGCTGTCTCTGCCCCCCTATCCCTCACTCCCCTGATCTGTAGGCTGTCTCTGCCCCCCTATCCCTCACTCCCCTGATCTGTAGGCTGTCTCTGGCTGCATATGTTGCTCCCCTGCGGTTTCAATCAGCAGAGAGAAGCAGGGATAAGATGCAGCTTCCTATCCCTGTCTCTCTCCATACACAGCGCCACCTACTGGCCGGCGCCGGTATTGCAGTTCATTCTAAATCTCACACGAAATAGCAGAAAAGCTAGGGGGGGCAAGTGCCCCCCCCCTGCGGACGCCCATGCGGGAGGGTCTGCTGCTGATTGGCTGGAATGTGTCAGCTGACTGGCATCTGTGGCGAACAGTTCGGGACATCACTACTTGCCACACCTCCCCTGGCTATGATTGACACAGCCTGCATAAAATTTTTTTTATCTCTCTCCACTCTCAATTAGATGTAATTTATCTTAAACAGTTGTATCTCTTGCTCTGTAAATTGAACTTTAAATCACATACAGGAGGGTCTTGCAGGGTCTAGCAAGCTGTTAACATAGCAGGGGATAAGAAAATCTAAATTATACAGAATGGAAAAACTTTAGATGACTCTTTCCAGGAAGTTTTTAGGAAGGCTGTGCAAGTCACATGCAGGAAGGTGTGACTAGGGTTTATAAACAAAGTGATTTAACTGCTAAATCGCAGAGAATTGAGCAGTGAGGCTCCAGTGGCATGTTCTATACACCCAAACTGCTTCTTTAAGCTAAAGTTGTTTTGGTGACTTTAGTGTCCCTTTAAGCTTAAGTTATTTTGGTACTTAGAGTGTCCCATTATGGTAGTAAAGCTATGAAACTTTAGACTAAAAACATTGCTTACCGTTTGCCTCAGCCTGACAGTAACAAGAGGTGGCTACTTTACATACATCACTTTCCTTACACCCAACATTTGTTTAATAAGGGACCTAAGCACTCTAATAAGGGGTTAGGTTTTGCCATAAGCCTCTCTACTACACAGATACAAGTGATACTGGGAGACAATCTGAATTAAGAAAAGAAAAAAAAGAAAATAAAGTTACTTTGACATTTCCTGATTGTAGCACACTAAATCTACATAATAAAGCACAACATTTTGCATGTACATCAAGTGAAAGGAATGTATCCAGGATTACCTAGTATAAATTAAAGGGATACTAGAGAGCCAGGAATACAAAGCTTTAGTCCTCCCCATAGAAAATAAATAAAATGCTTTCCTATGGGAAAATAGCTGATGCTGGATGTTCTCATGCAGACTGTGAGGACGTCCGGCATCATTTACCAGACCAAGAGTCCTTAACAGGCAGGAAGCACCTTCAGTGGCTGTCTGGTAGATAGCCACTGGAGGCAGACTTAGAGCTGCAATGTAAACATTGCAGTAACTCTGACACAGCAATGTTTTACATTGCAGCACTAAGAGCAATAGGGCCAGTGCATTTGAATGAGCTGAAATGGTCTGGATGCCTATAGTGTCCCTTTAAATTGAATTGGCACTGCTCTTGACTTTACATAATTTAACAAAAATGAAATATACAGTCCTCTTTATGCAAGGCAAAACATTTCAAATTATGGAGGATTTTTTTTTTTTTTTTTATATTAACCCCCCCCCACCCCACACACACGGAAGAAGTCCCCAATGCAATGTGTCTGCTGGAGATTGTCCCACTTTCACCAGTTTAAATTACTTTTCATACATACTACCCCCATTGTTTCAATCCTCATACCCACATGCTTTCTCTCTGTCACATGCAAAAGGATAGACAAAATTAAGGGCAAGTTAAGAAAAAAAATTAAAATAAATAAAAAATTTAAAAAAAATGCTGCAGCAAGCAATAAAAATTAATAATGGATTTATATATTTCATTTTACTTTTCACACCATACACATATTTAGTTCTTTGCAACCATATTAACACTTGTTTTACCTTGATAAGCCTCCTATTACATGCACACAGCAAATATATAGCCAAACAAAGCTTAGCAGTCAGGTAATCCCATGGCAGTATTGCAACTATTCCACCAGTTATGGAACCAAAGTCTACAGCTCTATTACTTACATATCCTAAAACATTAATTTTGCACAGGTCAACAGCACACTCCAATCACTAACACCTTGGTGTTCTGGCCTTGAGCACCTTTTTGGGGATTTGAACACCTCATACTCCCCAGTGGGATGTGCTTTATAAACCACCAGTTTCCTATCACAGGTGTAATCAAGCAGCTCCTTGCAAAAACCAACTCTTACTGAGGGCTGACATTAACTTCTTCCTCATCTGCTCATACTCCCCTTCACCCCCACCCCAAATGGATTCCTCAGCCTGAAAAGAGGAAATTAAACAATTATCCAGTACTTTCAATGATATTCACTAAGATGTGAATTGCCAAAGTGAATTCATTGTGAATTTCAAATGTTATATCAAAATACCCACACTGAAAACATAAAGGGTTTAATTAACTAAACTCAAAGTGAATGGTAACATCCAGGCTAAAAGAGCTCACCAGCGAAAAAAATTCTCTAACTCGGTTATAATCCCTGCTTGACAACTTTAGTATGAATTACACCATTCCGATTTCGACTTGCTGAAATTAAGAGCTTAGTGAATAAACCCTGGAGACTGTGAATTGCTGGGAATTCAAAGTAAATTTCAAATTTTAGACCACATTTGCTGGACTCGAAAAACTCTAAGTTAGCGATGCTTTCAGTTTGCTCATTTTTTGATGAATTTGTGACACATGCAATAACTAATAGGTTATTGCATGTGTGGAAAAACATGGCCAATGACCATACTGTGGTAGAATGGCTAAGTAGCCTATAAATAATAGGCTCTATAAATATTAACAGTCACTAATATATCAAATGTTATACTTAAAAATACATAATAACCAAAAACGTTTTTTATATTATTTAAAAAAACATCCTGATGAAAGTCTGTGATACAGACTGAAACGTTGATTTTTATTTTGAGCTAATAAAAGCTATGTTTTATTCATTCTACTTGGAAGTCCCTGGAGTGTTATCTTGTACTTTTGGGTGTATGTATATATTTATATATGTTAACTTTTTATTCATTTTAATTGATCCATCTCTCACACTCATTAAATTGTCTTTGTTCCTTATAATTAACTAATCAAAGAACGGTTATTGTCTTAGCAAGGTAGAGAATTTACTGTTCCTTTTCCCTATACTGGATATAAATCTCAAAAAATATTTCCCAGCATTGGGAGTCATTAGTCAGGGCAGGTCCAAGTTTTTAGGCGGTGTGTTATATGATTTGGGGTGTACACACCCAGAAAGGTGCTTAAACCTTAGCTCCCTGACAATTATCATTATAAGCTCTGTCCTTTATAACTGGCAGTTAGCATAAAGAGAAAGTATGCAGAGAACTGGAGAAATTAATTGCAATGGGCGCCCTGGTTGTGCCTTGTCTGAACTGGCTTATAATTAATTTCATGTGCTGAATCTTAAATCTTAAATTTAAAAGAACTGAACATCACATAAAAAAAGATTAGCTAAAAGTATAGATGACTTTTACTATTGTTTCATGTAATTTCCAAAAAAAGTGAAATCTCTCCTTGAAACCTAAATTCATAATTTTCAGGAACAATCTGTTGTTGAGTTGGAGATTTTTTCTCCAGATTTAAATTGTGAAAATTTGGGAGCTTAGTGAATAACCCTGTTAGTGTCCTGACAGCTTACACCCTGTATCCTCATATTGGACCTATGACACAATATCTAGTTGGTGGATGCAAAATATAAAATAAAACCCCTTAAATCTCTGCTATTAACTCAATGTAACCACTAGAGCTCAGCGTAGTGGTTACATAGCCAATAGCATTTAAGCGTCATGCTTAAGATCCTGGGGTCGACACCCAGGGACTACTGGCAACAAAACCATTACATTGAACTGTTGTTGTTATGGTGCTTACAGTGCCCTTTTAAATGCCAAAAACAAAAAAGTTTTCCAAACTCTAATATATGATTAAAAGGGCCCCCACCCCCCAAAAAAACACAATATAAAAGTCCTAATAAAACATTTTAAAATAAATATTTCAGTGTATATTTTTTTTTTTAATTTTTTAATATAGATATATATTAATGAAATTTTTTTTTTTAAATGGTCTGGGTGCCCCAAAAAAACACAATATAAATGTCCTAATAAAACATTTTTAAATAAATATTTCAGTGTATAATTTTTTAAAAACATTTTTTAATATAGATATATATTAATGAAATTTTTTTAAAAAAAAATATATATTTTTTTCTTTATGTTTTAATTAGAAATCCTTAGTCCCATTTGTCCATGAGTCTGTATAATATCCCATGCCTCCCTGGCTATGAGCTATTAGAAGAGCTCAAATGACATTAGTATTTCTTTAAAAGCCAAACTAAGGGACTGTCAACTAGCCACCAGCTCTGCAGCACTCTGCAAAATTCCTATTCTGTGACAGCCGTTCTGATTGGACGGGATTCGCTGACCACGCCCCTTTCTCGCCGCCTCCACCAATCACGCGAGCTTTCTCTGCCAGCCGACGCCGGTAGCTCGCCGACACAGGCGGAAAAAGACCTGACCCATGTTAGGCCCCGCCGAGCAGTTCCCCTCATAACACCGGCCCCGCACGCCGCACTTCGATAGATATCGCTTACTGAACGGCTGCCCTGGCAACATAGGGGCGGCAATCGCAGTTACGGTGCCGGACGCGCTCAGTATCCCGCGTTACACTCCGCCTGCGGCCTAGTCTTTCACGCTAAACCGACACTTTGCAGACGGTCCCTTATTTTTAGAGCGCGGCTCCTTTAAATGTATAGCTGTCCGCGGCGCTGCCTGCCTGGAAATGAGTGAATGCAAACCTAGGCAAAGACCGTCCGACTGTTTATTCCCATCCCTGGCACTGATATGATTGCTAATAAAGAGTGGTGATAATTTTATGAGGGGGACTCGGATGTGAACGTGGGCTCCCTGAGGGCAGGCGGGCCGGGCCCGTGTCGGCCCGGGTTACACACAGCCCCCCGCTTTATAATTGGCCTGTTGGGGGGTCTGGTTAGGGTGTGGGGTTAGTGGGGTGAGGGCAGTGCGGCCAGTCCTCCCCTCCCCCCACGCAGGCCGGGCGGCAGGCACCTCCCAGGGCAGCCCTGGCCCGGGGTCCTTGTGACATGAGGTCCTATTTAGTCTGGGTCAGGTTCAGTGCTGCTTCAGGAGGGAAACTTCAGGGGGCTTTGTCCCGAGACAAAGAGCAGTGACCGGCGCCGAGCCCGGATTCTCTGGGGGTGAAGTGATCGCAGGTGAGCGGCTCCCAGGGGCCAGGGAGATGGGGTGACCCCCGGGGGCCCCCCCGCACCCCTTCTCCATATTCCCCTCCCCCACCTTTCATTGCGGAATGCAGAGGCCGCAGCGTGACCCGGGTCACAGTAACCCGGGATAGAGGGGCCGAGAGCGGCCATTAAACTCACTCCTACTCCCATCAGGCTGATCCACACAGACAGCGCTGCTCACTGCCATGCAGCCATCCTGGGGGGCAGGCTGTCTATGGGGGTACCCCTGCCCTCCCTGGGGGTAGGGGGGTAAATCTGGGTACCCCTGCCCTCCCTGGGGGTAAATCTGGGTACCCTTGCCCTCCCTGGGGGTAAATCTGGGTACCATAAAGCAGGCATGGTTAACCTCTGGCATGCTAGATGTTATAATAAACTCAGTATCACCACTTCTAGCCACCATGCATGGCTGAGATTTATAGGCATAGCAGGGTACTGGGGGAGGCTGTGGAATACCCGTCCCAAAACTCTCATCTTGCCTAGGCCACTTTTAACATGTCACTGGACTAAGGAATTCTTGTCCGAGACCTGCCTACCCCTTCACCCTACTTGTATTCAGATACCATCTCCTGTACTAATGAAGGATGGGATCAGGCCATGCTTTTACCATGGCATAACACATCTAACTAGAGTTCTTATACTTCTTCTCTGACTTGGAACATCTGTATTTAGGGAGGAAAACATAAAATGATTGAACCCATGCTGGCCCACTTCTATATCAGATCTTCTAAAATCTGTGGGGGAAAAAAATATATTTCAAAAAAAAAAAAAAATATATATATATATATATATATATATATATATATATATATATATATATATATATATAATATTTGAGGCCTTTCCAGTCCTGGTTCCAGGATTCTAAAAGTGTGTTTGTGATAACTCCCTTGTTTGTGTTAAACTATAGCTATGCTTGAAACTTATGGATTTATAATTTTCAGCATTTGCTTTTCTTATTTAGAATATATAGTATTGTAGATTTATTTCACTTCCTGGTATGAGACGCATACCTTTTTTAAATTCTGAAATGCATGGTGGCATTTGACCCTACCAGTCTGTAGCTTCCACACTCAGAAGTACAAGCCCCATGTGCACATCGACTACTATGAGATCACTGCTTTATTCTACTGAGCAGAACTCCTCTCAAGGGATGTAAACATGCTACATGTGTTTGTGTAGAATACTTGGTAGCAAAAGAAAAGCTAACTTGTACTTGATGTATGTTATAGCTATATATATATATTTTTTTTTTTTTATATTTAAGAATGTGGTTCTAGGTTTGGGAAGACAAGTCCATCTTTTTCCTAATGAACAGCATGATAGACATTTTTTTTTTTTTCATTAAATCACTTGAAGTTCCTATCACTGCTACCACACAGAATTCTTTACCAATTAGTTGCTTTTTCTTTTTTGTGCAACATTAGACGTTGGTTGGGTTTTGTTTTGGATTTTCTCAACAATAATTATGTTGACGTACATGTCATTAATATGTCGTAAAATAAATTTGTATTTTTGCTTGGACAGTGTTGCATTAATAGTTTAGTGTATATATTGTTCAATATTTCTGAAATCAATTGCTCAAACAATGTATGCAACTCCAGTTATCAATAGTGAAAATTAAGCTTTGCAACGGACCTTTTTTAGTAGCGTATATTGTATGTTTGGCTACAGACCCATCTGGACATTCTTTATTTCAGTTTGATAGACAAAGTTTAATTAGTTAATAACAAGTAGGATTTTTAGCACTTATCTAAAGGACCCTATCACACACCGGCTGGTGGCTATTAGCCTAAGACGTGACTAGACCAGGACTAGGTGTATATCCACAGTCGGGGATATTACTGCCCAAGTGATATCATTGGAGCTATTTAGAAGCTCAAAAAAAAAAATTGTAAGTGCTTTTCTTTATTCTTTCAACTACAAATACGCTCTATACCATTGTGGGTCTCTTGGGTGTGTTTTTTTTTTCTTTTTTTTCCTTTTTTTAAATCTTGCATATTGATTTGAACCTGGGGACCCCACCAAGGCGCTGCTACCCTTACACCAAAAGTTAACTGGTTGATTACCTAATGAGGAGAGCACAGGTGATGAAACTTTGATCTGGAGGACATGCAAATACTCCGAAGTTCTAGCACATCTATCCAGTTGTGTTGCAGTGCTATCCAGAGTGATGCTAGGTTAACTCTACAAATGTAAATTCAACCAAAGGGTGGACCATAATCAATCTACATAGCTTAAGGGTAGTGTAATGATGACTTAAAACCATGTAAATCCAGCTTCACAGGGAACTGTTGGCAATCGGTAGCTGGCCCCTCAATGTTCAAAGGCTTAAACAAATCAAGGGTAGATGCAATTTTTATGGTGTGGTAATGTCTTTCCTACAAAGCCCTTTTGGGTGAGATCTCCTGCATCAGGAAGAATCTCCTCTTTAATTGAAACACAATTTATACCATTTTTTTTAAGTCATTTGTAATTTTGGGTTTCTTTAGTCAGAGGTTTTATCTACCATATCCACAGCTTCGGCCAGTGCTTTTGGAGTCCCAAGCGATTTTGAGCTACTGGTGGTGTTTGTGGTGTGTGATTTATTTAAATTTTATTGCAGGCATAAACAAAAGCATCATGAATGTATATCCGCACAGGGCTTACATTTGTCTGTAATGGAGCATCTTGTAGATTTCCTGTGCATGTCACTCATTCATATGGATGTAGTCTGAACATCCTAGTTTTGGTTATTCATCTGTCCTCACTGACTATACAGCAGTAGGGTAGGCGTGTCAGACCATTCTGTAAACTGCCGTTAGAGTGAGTGGAATTTTTTTTATTTTTTGGGGGAGAAATATTGCTTTTAGCATTTTTCCAAGTTTTTTTATGTTCCTGCCAATTTTTGCTCAACTCTTTTTTTTTTTTGTGACGGCTTACAGAGCCCCTGCTACTGAGAGAAAAGGATGCTTGGGAGTGTCATGGACAAAACTATCAAAGGCTAGGAAAACTTAAAGGATCACTATAGGGTCAGGAACACAAACATGTATTCCTGACCCTATAGTGTTAAACCCACCATCTAGCTACCCTGGGCCCCTCATGCCTCCATAAATATAGTAAAACAATCTTACTGAATTCAAGCCTGAAGCTGTAACTTTGCATGCTGTTACTCAGAAAAACAAGCAGTCTGCTGACATCAGAAGTGGTAGCCGTATCCAATCACAATGCTTCCCCATAGGATTGGCTGAGACTGACAAGGAGGCGGGGCAGTGCCAGCATAATTCAAACACAGCCCTGGCCAATCATCATCTCCTCATAGAGATGAATCGAATCAATGAATCTCTATGAGGAAAGTTCAGTGTCTGCATGCAGAGGGAAGAGATACATAATGTTTGGATGCATTTTAGGCAGCCATGACCCAGGAAGGATCTCTAACAGCTATGAGGAGTGGCCAGGAAAGTTATTACTAGGCTGTAATGTAAACACTGCATTTTCTATAAAAAGACAGTGTTTACAGCAAAAAGCCTGAAGGTAATCTACTCACCGGAACAAATTCAATAAGCTGCAGTTCTGGTGACCTATAGTGTCTCTTTAAATATTTTAAACTTGCTACAGCTGTGATACTACCAATTACCCTTCTGATATCCAAGGACATTTTACTCCGTGTCCTTTCCAATTTGTGGATTTAGTGAGATACCAAGTTGGTAAGTGGAAAATCTAACATGAAGTTGTATCTTTATTGACCTTCATACATGATTTTTTACGTAGTCCCACAGGTGAAATGTGGCATTTAACCATTTCCGGTTTGCCATCACTGCATCTCGTGGTGGTGTCATCTGTAGGTCCCAATCTTCTATGTTTGCTGATGAGGTAAGGGCAACAATGATGCGACTCCTGGCAGATGAAGTCACTAGTAACTGAAGCGGAAGGGGGTGGTTCAAGGAAAAGAACCTGTGATTTATGAAGAGTATGTAATAAGGAAGGCTATGTAAATCCATTGCCTAACATTGCATGGATCTTTATGCAATAGACAATTGGCTTTACAAAGTGAGCAGCTGACGAGGGAGAAGAACCAATGGTTACCATTGTAGAGTTGAGAAAGTCTGGTGTGAGAAAAGACCACATACTGGCCATAAAGAGTTATTTGCATCTTAATTTGTGAATGCTCACATAATGTTCTTTAATTTGTATATAACACCATATAATCAGGCTTACTAAAAGCATCACTGTTATTCTCCTCCCTACCCCTCCTCCCCCCACAAAATATTTATGAAATTCTCATGATGACTGTGTTGGGGTTTCATTTAAATTACAATGAGCCCAAAAAGATATAGGACAAAGTAGGGACTAAACTCTTAATGGTAAATCCCTAATGTGACGAAAGGTGGAGCTAACCCCATCAAGTTTTGTCACTTCCCACACCTGTTGATGGCAATTGCTGTGTCAATTATGCATTGTCTCAATGAGCAGGATAATGCAGATCTAAATTTGCTCTTGCGGATCCTCCATAGACCTAGGTTTCTGTACTCTTGCACGTATGCAAGATTACAGCATTGATGTGGGCTCCTGGTGGATGAAGTGCCAAGATCTGAAGATCAAAGTCGTCGCCTGCAGGAAAGAGCAGCAGTTGAGTAAAACTCACTGCCACTACTCAAGGCTGATGTTCCCAACTGGGGTCTTTGCAAAATATGCAAAGACACCAGAAGGTGACAGAGCCACTTTAAGGACTCTTGCAGCTATATAAAATTTGAAATTGGGCATATGCACAATTAAAATAAATCATCCACAAATAGCAGAAATATCCTATTTGATTCTCACAGTAATCAGTATTTCCATATATTCAGAGTATTCTGTGACTTGTTTTGTATCCACAATTCACTGCATGCATAGTCAGTATCCATTAAGTTGTTTAAGAGATTTGCACTGAATGCCCTGCTGTGCCTTTGCAATTGCTGCAAATTAAAAATATTTGCTGTCCTGGTGTCTGTCAAGCCCTCGGCGTGTGTATGTAATATTTTGAAAATTATTTTTATTGTATGCAAAGGGAGTTTTTTTTGTGCATTAAAGTTACACTAGCACTTGCATTTTAAATAACAATACATTTTTACCACTTCCAGCATTTGGCCAGGATGGGGTTGTTAATTTTCAGCTTTATCGCTTTAGACAAGGTCCACGTTTGCCTCATACTGCCAGCCTGTCTGGTGTCTGCGCAAGCAAACATGGAATCTAAATGTGGCAATACACCAACCCTTCTGTATAGAAGCCGATTTTTAACTAAACTTCCTGACATTTTATATCCTGCCATCGCTAGTCCCCTGTTTAAAGTCACGATCAATTGAGGTGGCTTTTATTTTTCTTTCTATCTGTCTAGCTATACAATTTTATATAGAAACCTATTTGGCAGTGCTGTATTATTGGTAAACATGATAAACTGTGTGGGGTTTTTTTTTTTTTGGGACTCTATAGTTGCCAAAACTTTGTCTTAAGGCAGTCTTGGTGTTTAGATCATCATCCTCCTCCCCTCCACCCCCCCTTGCAGTGACGCTGGCAATAATGGCAATTGGCATGGCTGGCATACCAGGGTTACTGCTCAGGGAGAACTACTTGACCTCTCTTGACAAATGGGTGACAAATCTTTATGCACCATGTGCTTCTTCTCTGTGTAGTTGAGTTTTGTGCTCACATAATTTCTGACTCTATTTTAAATAATATAAAAAAAAATTTATATACACACGTACCTCCTGTTAATTGAAAATAATACCTCGATTTACACTTAAATAACTGTTGGGTTTTATTTTTATTTAAATCACCTGTGCATTGAGGCTGTGCGTTTGAAGTTATTTTTGGCTAGATTTACACTGCAAACTGTGTAGAATATTTTTTTTTTGTGTGTGTACAGGACTGCTCTACAAACCTACTATGCTAAGTGTTAAATGTAAGCAAGTCTGCTCTTATGTGTTCAGTTAGGGGCAATGGTCTTCAATGACACTGGCACATGTGCTTTGTTTAGACCCCAGTATATTGGTAATACCCCAACCAACCCTAGAAGCCCTGACAGACCACTACAGCAACCAGAGTGTTACCCATTAATCCCAGCCATCCAGCAAATGTCCAAAGCGTTTGTCAAAGTTATGGCAGACTCCTCTACCAGCTTCATGGAATTATTATAATATATATAATATATATTTATTTTTTATTTTTATTTTTTCCCTTTTCTGCTATTCCCACTACTGCAACTTGAGGCCTCCATTCTTCTTGTGCAGGAGTGAATCTCTGGTTTTGGCTGACTGCATGCGCAATAATGTAAAGCCGATCCCAAGCCAACATTGGCAGGTTATGCAAAAAAATCATTACTACAGTGCAAATAAAACTTCAAGGAGATGCAGTTAGATGTAACTTGCAAGTGAACAATGTGATTTTTATTTACTACAAGATTTAAAAGAAGCAACATTGTGTAACTCCTAATGCACCAAAAATGGATATTACTCACTGTTATTACATATCACACTCTTTGGTGGAAGAAAGGGTGAGACCTGCTGCCAATCTTACGTATTTCTTAAATACAAATTAAAACAGAAAATGATCTTTGGAAATGCCACCCAAATTAGGTGTGGTGGGGACTATAATAAGTAGAATATATAATTGTTACCATACACAGCACAATATGGTGTATCCTGGTGACAGGCACACAGATAGCAAAGTGTACAAATACACTTTGCCCTCACCGGGCTGGTAAAATTCCAATTTCAATCTGCACAGCAAACCACAAACCGCAATGTTTATCTATCTAGTTTCAACTCTGGGAGCCCAATCCAAATTTGTTCAAATCACTGGAAATATCCTCGCTCGACTCGTTTTAAACATATTCCTGACTCTAGTAGTAAAAGGACTATTTTTTAAATGTATACACAGCACCATATTCCTCTGGTGTATTAGCTTGGGGGGGAGTGGAGAAGTGTGTGGCAAGTTAATAAGATCAAGGAGAAGATTAATACATATGCATGTTTGGAGGAGGTTGGTGTATCCAGTGCTTTCTGTAATTGTTACAGCTTTCCTTTTCCTGGGTGAAATCCAGTTCCTGCATTTTGCCTGTCTGGATTATACACTTGTTTTATTATACAGTAGTTTATCACCTAGTACTATGAACAGCTCTGTGGGAGGGTAGGCCATGAGGGAGACTATTTCCTGCACAGCAAGAGTCTAGTTTCGGAATCTGGAGTAATACATTTTAATATGATCCTAACTTTTGTAGTTTTTCCCCACCTGAAAACTGGAAATACAGGTTATACCCTATAGTGGTCCCACTCCCGTGGCGCTGAAAGGGGTTAAAACCCCTTCAGCAGCTTACCTTATTCCGGCACTGGTGACCTCTCCTCCCCTGCTGACGTCAGCTCCCGAGTGGAGCGGCTAGTGCCGCGCGCATTCAAACAGTCCACAGGAAAGCATTTCTCGAAATTCGCCTCTAGCGGCTGTCAGGAAGACAGCCACTAGAGGTTGGCTTAACCCCTAATGTAAGCATAGCAGTTTCTCTGAAACTCATGTTAACATATGAAGGGTTAAAACATAAGGGACCTGGCACCCAGACCACTTCATTGAGCTGAAGTGGTCTGGGTGACTACAGTGTCCCTTTTAAATAAACCAAACCTTTCAGGCTCTGTGTGATTTGTCTCTTGCCCTGGCATAACTATTCATACTTTGCAGAAGAGCAGTGGTGAAATATACTATTTCATGACATTCCAACAACAAATGTATGTTGTTGGATGTTTATGGTTGCTGTTTTGAAAGAGCAGAATGTGTCCCTTGATCTCTGGCAGGGATTTCTTTGCATATGCCTGTTTGTGTACATGGCTATATGTAATATCTCCAGATATGTAATATTCCTTATACATTAGCAGACAATATTTAGGTCTACTAATTCCCCAGTGGTGATGATAAAGTAAAAAATGCTCATTAAATATTCAGTTTAATTTTTAGCACCTCTCCTCCCAGAAAGGTCTTGATGTCTGCGGTCATTCCACATGGAATGGTGACTCTTAACACTGTTAAATGCTTCTCTATAAAGAATTAATTGACAGAGCTCTGTTTGCCATGCGTACATCATAGGTTCTTAATGCTTGTCTGAGAAGCATCTAATTGGAACAGAGATGATCAAGCCGGAAGAGACTGTCTGACTGGAAAATTGTGGGTGGTTAATACAAATATTTATTTTTTTGTCTCTATTTCCTTCATATATCTTGTTGGAGTAAATGTCCTAATATCTGTTCCTTCTGTTTTTAAACTTTGTCCCAAAATACATTGACTGCATTAAACAGCTAGAGGATGATGGCAATTGTAGTCCAGTAATGTCTGAGATGCCTGCTCTAGATGCAATTTTTAGCATACTGTGTGTTAAGCCATTTCTGACATTCACCCAGTAAAAAAGTTTTGAGCGTTTTCACTAGATGGCGCCAACAACTTGTGAAATAACTTGGGTGTGTAGTGGGACTTGTGGCTTTTATTTATTTTTATAGTGTTCTGTATATACTATAGATTAACTTTTATTTTATATTTTTACACAATAGGAATCTGAAATGTCTGGCATTGCCCTAAGCAGACTCGCACAAGAGAGGAAAGCTTGGAGAAAGGACCATCCTTTTGTAAGTATAGATATTCACTCAAAACTCCCACTATACTCTAGTGCTACATTCTCACTAGCGTGTGTGTGTGTGTGTGTGTGTGTGTGTGTACACTATTAAAAGCTGGATGGACAGGTAGAATCAATGTTGTAAAGGCCTATTTGATCCCTAAATGGAGCTATGTATTCCGTATGCTACCAATGAAAATGCCTAAACCATGGCTCCTGATGATCCAATCAGTCTTAGATAAATATATATGGATGGGGAAAAAACCTAGGGTTAGTAAAAAAAAAATCTTGAACCTAAACTAGGAGGGATGGGAGTTCCCAATATTACAGATATTTATGAATCTTGCTCATTGGCACATATTATTTCATCTATGAAAGAGAGCTCTAGGGGAGAATCATGAGCAAAGATTGAAGCTAAAAGAGCAGAAGTTCCAGATCTAATGGCTCTATTTTGGAATATACACAAAGGGGAGAGAGATGATATGGGTCTAATTCTAGATAACTTATTGGCTCAATGGAGAATCTGGAAAAGACTTAAAATTACAGATAAAATTATTGATCTACCATGCAGGTTTTGTCTATTAATATTAAGGATCTTAATCTTGAGCCATGGTTAAATAAAGGCATTAATAGAATAAATCAGTTATTTCAACAACAACAGATTAGACCTTTTGAAGAGATCAAACAGGCCTTTTCTCTTTCCTACAGAGAAAGTTTTACGTTTTTAAGGATAAAATACTTCTTAATGAGACATAGAACAGTGGAGATCCCTGAGGAATTACAAATGTTCATAAATTTATTAAATATCACACATAGTAAAAATTTAGTTTCTAAATGCTCCAATATCTGTAGTAAGTATAAGCCACTCCCTGAATTTCCAGCTATAAAAGCTTGGGAAAAAGATATACAAATTAGCATTATGAGAAGTGAATGGCTTAAGGCTAATAATGCAGTAATGAAAGCTTCACATTGCTTAAATCTATCGGAAAGTCACTATAAGGTTATCAACAGATGGCATTATGTACCAGCTAAATTAGCAAAAATATATCCAGGTAACCAATATCACTGCTGGCGTTGTGCTTCCCTTATAGCAGATTATGTGCATATATGGTGGTCATGTCCGATTATATCTCAATTATGGCAAAAGGTAGCGAAATTCTGTAGGGAAGAAATAGAAGTGGATCTTGATCTTACTTGTAGTTCTATGATATTACATATGGGATGGCCCACAATTCCGAAGGATAAAAAAGAAATAATTATCCACATTCTTGTAGAAACTAAAGCCACTCTCGCAAGATTTTGGAAAACCTCAGATTCCCCGTCATGGGAGATGATAAAACATCAGGTCTTGAATAATTGTAAAATGGAAATAGGGATATTGAGAAGATAATTACAATCCACGAATTGAACAATGGCAGAAATGGATTGCAAAATTAGGAAGAAGTAATGTGACTTAATATATACTAAGGTTTATACGTCTTGGAATTGTAGATAGGGTAGTGGATCCTGTGCATAAATGTAGAAAAAATATTTGTCAAAGATTATGGTTTTAGGTTCCTAGGAGCAATATGCGACTAACTCTCAGCAAAGGGCAGCTTTTTTTTTTTTTTTTTTAATATATAAGGGGAGAAGGTAATATATAAGGGGAGAAGGTAAAGGAAGGAGGGAAGAGGTGAAGAAAGAGAACAAAAGGTGGATAAAGCCTTTTTGGATTTATTGTAAATCTTTCTGCATTGAAGGTGACTGAATTGTAATGTTTTTATACACATTTTTTTGTTATTTCTTTTTTTTTTTTTTGATGTTTATTGTCCAATGTCTGTTTATTGTTGTAACAATGTTTGTGAATTCCTTTTTGTTTGTGAAAAGAAAGTAAATATTATAAAAGAAAAAGGAATGAAAAACTTTTTCAATAAAGATTAAATATATAAAAAAAAATAAAAGCTGGATTAGTGTTGGGGACTATTAAAAGCTGGATAGCAGCTTAGCACACAAATGCCAAGTCTTGTTAATAGTAACTTTTGACACCCAGCTTGTGCAATACCAATGTATTTTTCTCATCCATCTCCTCAACTTCAGGGTTTTGTGGCAGTTCCAACAAAAAATCCAGATGGTACGATGAACCTGATGAACTGGGAATGTGCTATTCCAGGCAAGAAAGGGGTAAGCTTGAACATTTTCATGATGTGCTATAGTGTTTAATCCAGCCAGATTTACTGGTTCATCTGGTTGCTACTTAATTGGCCATACCCAGCTCGAGTTATTGTTGCATAAGAGGGTAGAACATTGAGAGGGAGTACAACAAAAAAGTGGCAAGCACCTATTTTATGTAAAGATAACCCGAAGACTAACCAGACATATCTGTATCTTTGTATGAAAATTCATGGCAGGTGTTCCTAATATTAGGAGCTACCGCTTTCATTCTGAAGGCTGACCAAGTGAAACATTGAGGGTCTACCTCTCTCATCCATATAGTATGGGGACTTGGTTAAAGGGACACTATAGTCACTAGAGCAACTACAGCTTATTGTATTTGTTCTGGTGAGTAGATTCATTCCATTCAGGCTTGTTTGCTGTAAACACTGTCTTTTCAGAGAGAATGCAGTGTTTACATTACAGCCTAGTAGTGACTTTTCTGGCCTCTCCTCGGATGGCTAGTAGAGGTGCTTCCTGGGACAGTGCTGCACATTGCACGCAGAGGGTGGAGACACTGAATGGCAGTGCTGCACAGACACTGAACATTCCTCATAGAGATGCATTGATTCAATTCACCTTCAGGAGTAGATGCTGATTGGCTAGGACTGTGTTTGACTTATGCTGGATCTGCCTGCTTGACAGTCTCGGCCAATCCTATGGGGAAGCACTGTGATTGGCTCAGACCACCACTTCTGATGTCAGCAAACACGCAGTTAAAAAGCAAACTGGGGCAGAGCCAGGAGCTGCAAACTTGAATACAATTAAGATTCTACTATATTTAGGGGGGCCAGAGAGGGTAGAAGGTGGTTTTGACACTAGTGTCAGGAATACAGGTTCCTGACCCTATAGGACTTCTTTAATCTTCCTGCCCTCTTGCAGTACACACAGGGACTGTTGGCCACCTGGGTAGCCGGCACACTTCACACTGAGGGAGTATTCCTTTGTAACAAAATGGAATTTCTCTCTAAAGGTATACACCTTTTTATCAGCCACCTAGGTTCGACCTCGGTTTAAACTATGTTCCTTTTAAGTTTAGTTGTTTAACCCGTTCTGGTTTCCTATTTAAAAAAAAATATTATTAGATTGTGTTATGAACCAGTTGTGTTCAGGTGCTCCCTGCATTACAGGAGATGTGGTATAAAGGCTCTAAAAGCAGGAAATCGGTTCACTTTGATGCTTTTGTGGTATGGCACCAGCTCGAAATGGGGTGTGTGCGTGTGCATATTTAAAAAAATAAAATAAAAAAAAAATATATATAATCTCTTTAGGACTTTTGTGTATTTTGTGGCATAAGCAAAGCTGTCTATGCATTTGTTTTGGCTAGCACAAACTTTGCCATGCATCAAAGGTGAAAGAGGCTGAATCAGTGGAAGAATTAAAACCTTGAATAGACATTATTGCAGTAAAGCCTGTGCTTTTAGATTGGGGAAATGGGAAAACCAGTTGAGCACAGAGTACTCTAAACACCTGCTGTTAGACTTTTATTTGTGGGCTGGATGAACCATTATATATTGCTTCCATGAGGTTCCTATCTGATGGAACGCACACTTTGTGGGCCACATGAAACCCATTGACAAAGTTTAGCAATCATTGTCGATCAGTGTTTTCCAAACTGTGAGTAATTTGGCTCTGAAATTACTTTGTATGCCTAATTGTATTCGATTTGGATTTCTATTTTAGAACTTCCTTCTGCCTATATTTTTGTGGTACATCCTTTTACTTTAGAATGTTTAGTACTGACTTACATACACCCTAATCTGTATGCATGCTTAGAGCCTAAATATTAATAATATAAAGAAAAATAATGTGGTGATTGGAATTTGTCTTGCTAAAGTTTCAGTTGTGTGATTTATTTTATTTACAGACCCCATGGGAAGGGGGGCTATTTAAACTACGGATGCTTTTTAAGGATGATTATCCCTCCTCGCCCCCAAAATGTAAGTAGTAGGGAAAAAAAAACCCAAAAAAACTAGAAATGTTGTCTTCAAATATAAGATGGCAGTTTAGATTTCATATGTACCTGAAAAGCTCTTAAAGAGGAGCGGTCATTTGGCTAATTTAAGCACAAACTTCTGATTAACATGTAGCTATTTTGTGGTGTGTTGGTTGTGTTTGTTTTTTATTTTTTATTCTATGGCCTTTGCATACTTGCCGGCCAAGGCCTGATAAAGTATGTAAATTACTTGACGCGAGCCGTTCAGTACTTAACCTCCACCCTTCATGAAACCTTTTTTTTTTAAAAATTATTATTTAGTTTTTTTCACTTCCATGAACTGCCGGAGAAAACACCACGTGCAGTATACAGAATTTATCAGTTGCCTGTGGAAGTGACTGATTCTATTTAAGTTTTATGTGAGAGAGGGAGGTTAAATTCATATGCAGCTTATTTAAATAAAAAAATTACTTCAAAGTAAATTACTAACCTATCTCTTTAATGTTATATAGGTAAATTTGAGCCACCTTTATTTCATCCAAACGTCTATCCTTCAGGCACAGTGTGTCTGTCTATCCTAGAAGAAGATAAAGACTGGAGGCCAGCAATAACGATCAAGCAGGTAATTATAAAGATTATCCTAAAATAACACGTGCTGTTTTGGGGTTGTGTTTTTTAAACTTGCTCCGTCTTTCAACTTTTCTTAATTTTAGATCTTGTTAGGAATACAAGAACTACTAAATGAACCAAATATACAAGATCCAGCCCAAGCAGAGGCATACACAATCTACTGGTTAGTATTGCTTTTTCTTTTAAAAAAAATTATATAAATGCCTACGGTTTTCTTGGAAAATTCAATATGCACAGGCTTTTTTAATATCCTTGATGGTGCAAGGTAGCCCACATTAAATACCCTAAATAAATTCAATGAATACATATGATCCTGCACTCAGTTGTAGACATAAAGTAAAATATCGGTTTATTATTCGATCCATTAAAAAGTAAATATCTTGCACTCAGTGAAAATATATACATATGGCAGAAGACCAGTTTATTGCGTAAAGCTATATCCTATATGGACTCAACCATGCAACACCTTGGGTGATATGCTTAGCCAAAAAGGAAAAAAGTCCCTAATTGATATGCCACCTCAATAACCAGTATTATAGTTTGAATGAAAGTTATATAGGTAAAGACCCTATCTGCAATCAGCAATACTTGTCTGCACATAAAAAAATTATATACAGTCCCAGTGTGTACACACTAAAAAAACTGCAAAACACCAGTCCTGGGTATAGCTGATTTGATGACTCTTGGTATTGTGGCTTCTCCAAATCTGTATGTGTGATATTACTCCGGCGTGTATCAAAATGATTGCAGATACTTTAAGTCAGTCTCTGGTTGCCTTGGGTTTTGGCTGTCGCTAGCGTACCTGGGCTGCGTGCTCGGGACTACATCCGTCCCTTCGAAAGCCCTAGTAGTTAAATAAAATCTATTTATTGCCCCTAATTGGCGCGCCCACCTATCTACGTGGGTCGCACCTGTCGTGCATGCGCGCTCATTCGAATCGGTTTCCGGGTGTGAGTGCACTTTGTGTATTTCCAAGTGTCCATTGACACTCATGTGATGACGTCTTCCACTTTTGTCAGAAGCATCACAATAACTTTATTAGCTTGCTAGCAAGTTAAAGTCAGGATTACAACAACTTTATTGTCTAACTGACAAACAATTGGTATAATGCGATTTCTTAGTCTATGATAGACCTTATGCTTTAAAGTGTTCTATAGAATATAAAGCTTTATTGGATGTTTCCTTGTACATGTAAGTCTTGTTAAAACACCACCTCTTTATGGATTATTGAGCACTGTAAAAGGAATTGTACTACTATGTAGGTTAGGTAAGAGAATTAATGAGCAACTATCTATAAGTTCTTAATCAAAGCGTAAAGAATATAAGTGGAAGATTAGAATACATTAATATAGATCCATAGACAAACATTATATAATAACTAACCTCTGTATTTTATTGAGGTATATTAAACTGTTTCACCATAAGCTTTTCGGTGTACCATAGCGATTGTGTTAAGGCACATTGTGAATGTGCTAGACTACTCCGAAACATGATGTAATGATGTTACATTGATATCCTGTAATTGACTCGATACCTGTATGTTGGTAAATGTTTGTATTCTAGACACCCATGTGTCTAAGAATAGCCAAAAAGTAACTTACTGAACATGCTATATTGTAAGGCTTGGTTATTCTAAACTGCTTACTACAGAGTGCAAAGACAATCAGGGGTACACTTTCCACTACACTCCATTCAACTAAATGTTCAAATGAGGGCATACTCCCCAGTGGTGTATCCTCTAAAGTGGACTCCAGTCGGGTATCGGACCGTGTAAGGTCAACCTAGTTAGAGGCATATGGAGAGTTTGAGACACAAATGGACCAACCCTGGTTGAAATCATATACAGGAAAAATGTAATTGCATATTAGTTTAGAGAATTCATGCTGATGTTTCAACTAAATATTTATTTGTTATTAGTGGGGTTTTTTTAAAGCTAGACCCACTCTCTATAGGAAGTGTTTAAGGTCATAATCCTCATTCAAACCCTGAGGGTGCAATGCAAATACTTATCTGTAACGGATCACCTGGCACCCCGATTGGGTACCTCCGTTGAAGGATGCTCCTAGCGCTTCCTGAGGACTCCAAGCACTGCAGCAGACACCACAACCACTGAACCGGAGAAGCATATGAATGCTGTAAGCAGCTGAACAGGAAAAGCATACAATCCAATTCCCCCAATGACGACACTTCGTTTTGAGGTCAAGCAGAACTGATTTACTGGGGCTACCTGCCTGGCTTTTATGCAGGTCTCCCACCTGGTGGACACTCCCCTAGGGGACCAGATGGAAGACTGGGAAACATATTGGACATTGACCAATCACAAGCTTACAATCCCACAATGCATCACAATCCCTCCTCTCTGTCCTGGAGATAATTGGGAAGTAATCAAATTATCTCCAAGGACAGAGGCAAAACTCCATTAACCACATGGCAGACAAAGGACAATAAGACATTAACATACTGTTACATTATCACATAGAACATACATATTCTACCTATCCCCAGATAGATTAGATCTGAGCGCACATTACCGAATGGCACTCAGATCACATACATACAGTTCAATCGTCATGGAGCCAAAGTCTCATACAGTCTTTCAGTATACGGCTGGGCTCCATGGCATAGCTATCTGGGGTAGCGTGGGTTAAACAGTAAAGTACCGAATGGACTATTGTTCGGATAATTGACTGCAGGTAGGAGAAGGGAGGTCGGTGGCTTAGCGGTGTTCGTGACTTTAACAGCCTGCAGAAAGGCACAAACCAGCCTTTCTGCAGGGGAAAAAGAACCATGTTAAACATGGGGCCATAGTCCAGCAGCAGGAGGCGGGCGACCAGGCTCCTCCAGTGGCGAGGTTGGTTCCGCCACATTATCCATTTTGTGTCCTTCTGTAATAAGTTTTTGTCTGTAACCTCTGTAGGGTTTTGATACTGTCAGTTACTTGGAAACTTAGTTGGTTCACATTGTGTTCTTTTGCTTAAAGTGTCTTGGAACTGGATTATCACATACACCTCGCTGTAAGGCTGCTCTAATGTCTCTCTTGTGCTCCCCAATGCGTTCTTTGACCGGCCTAATCGTCTCCCCCTCATAAAGGAACCCACAAGGACTTTTCAAAATATAAACCACATAATCGGAGTTGCATGTGTAATAATCATGAATCTTGTACAAGAGTAATTCTGCAATATGCCAAGTATTTTTATCCTAAAAACAATAACTTAAATTGGGGATGATTATTTAGAACAGGGTTGCCCAAAAGGTAGATTCCCCAGATGTCTTAACTCTACGACTTCCATAATGTTTTGTCAGAGCATCGTAGGAGTTGTAGTTCTACAGCATCTGGGGATCTACCTTTTTGAGCACCCCTGGCTTAGAACTATAGGATTTTGCTCTAAAGGCAAAGGTTTGCTTAAAGTGTCCTGCAAACGGCATAGTAAACGTGTGAATCTGTCTATGCACTGTGTAGATGGAAAGATACACTATGTATATCTCTAATCTATCTACTACAAGGGTGCTGCTGGGGTCAATTCATACATGATCCAGTGCACTTACTCATTCACTGAACAGCAGTATTCCTGGTATGCAGTGGTTATCTACCAAAAGTTGTGCAAAATAGCCTGGGTCATGGGCACCCAAGGTTCATTGATGCATGTGGGGAGCAAAGGCTGTGATTGAAAGTTGTCAGAGTGCCCATAATGACACCTGTCAATCGGGAAAAGCACCTAGAACGAAGACATGAGTGTCAGGACTGGACCATGAAGCAATGGAAGAAGGGTCCCATGTCTGAATTATTTTTTTCTTTTAGAACAGATGGCCGTGTGTGTCGGTCGTTTACCTGGGCAAGAGATGTCTGTGGCATGCATTATAGTGAGGAGGCAGTGTTATGTGCTGGCCACTGTTCTGTTGGGGGAAACCCCTTGGGTCCTGGCATTCATGTGGATGTTACTTTGACACCTACCTAGAGACTGTTGCTGGTCATTAACACCTTCATGGCAATGGTGTTCTTAGATGGCAGTGGCCTATTTCAGTAGGATAATGCACACTGCAAATATTATTCAGTGATGGTTTGAGGAACATGACAAAAAGGTCATGGTGTTGCCTTAACCTTAAATACCTCAACTTGAGCATCTGTGGGATGTACTGGAACAGATCCAATCCATGAAGGACCCACATTGTAGAACTTAAAAGATTTGCTAGTGTCTTCGTGCCAAATGCTACAGGACCTGTCTTGGACGTCTTGTTGAGTCCATGCCTGAACGCAGCTCGAGCAAATTTGTGTACAATCCTACATTGCATAAGTCTTTCACACCACTTTTGTCAGGCCCTATCCTAGCAACCTAATACCTGCTCTTATAAGACTAATCCTTATGTTCGTCCCCCGTCTCTCTCCTCTTCTCCCCCCCCTTAAAGTAAAAAAAAAAAAAAAGCATTGGATCTTGCATTTTATTATTATTATTATTATTATTATTATTATTATTATTATTATTATTATTATTATTTCCCAGATCACTAACCTTGTGGATATATATATATTATTTTTTTTATTTTCTCATTTCAGCCAAAACAGAGTGGAATACGAAAAAAGAGTCAGAGCACAAGCTAAGAAGTTCGCGCCATCATAAGCTTCAAGTGTGAAATCTTAAAATAAAAAAATTTAAAAAGGAAGGGATTGGTTTGGCAAGAACTTGTTTACAAATTTTTTGCAAAATTGAATGATGCTAAATACAATTTAAAAGTCACTTAGGGGAGGGGGTCGTATGTGTGCCATTTCCCATTTCTGCCACTTGTATAGAGTTCTAAATTTGCTGAATATCCCCCTCGTTTTTTCATACAGGGTCTCTTCCTTCAGTCTTTTTGTATTTTGATTGTTATGATGTAAAACTTGCTTTTATTTTAATATTGATGTCAGTATTTCAACTGCTGTAAAATTATAAACTTTTATACTTCTCTAAATTCACTAGTAATCTATAGTTTCCTTTGCTATCTGATGCAGGCATGCTTTAAACTGTTTAGAACTGTATCTAGCCTCTAGCTGGCTGTATTTAAAATGTCATAAATTCCACCCCCTCCCCTCCCCTAAATTTTTTCTTTTTATTTTTATTTTTTTCTTTATCTTTATCTTTAACTAGGTTGTGTTACAACCTAGAGCCTCCGAGATTTAAACTCAGTCACATCTTGCTTCTGCATCACTTCCTTATGTTTATATGGTGTTTTTTGTCTGTGTTGCTGTTTAGATGAAATAAACTGTTTATATAATTTTTTTTATTTTATTTTTTTTCTTCATTATCTTTCTCATTAAAAGGACCACGACGTGGAAAGTGTTCTGACTTGTTAACTGAAAATTTATTTTATTTTTTTGTTTTTCTTATTTATATATTTTAAAAAATATATTGCTGTTATTGCTACACCATGATCGAAGTAAGCAAGAGACTGTAGCCTGACCTCTTGATTAATTTGGCTAACCTACTGTTGTCTTTGTAACATGAAATGCAGACTTTAAATAAACCGCAGTAAACCAAAAACCTGGTAAGTATAATTTCTTTGTTTTAAAACTCAAACGTCCATATGAGCACTGTATCACATTTGCAAATAAAGTCATTTGGAACAGGCTGGCTCATTTTAGTAAACATTGGATTTTAGGCTTTCGTTATTCAGCATTTATGCAACATGTCACTAAACACTTGCCATTTTAGGGCATATGGCACAGCTAACTTTACACTTTAGCCCTACTTTTTATTTAATTTTCTACAGCTAGTGAAAATCAAGGCACAGTGCTGCACTTTACATCTTGGGGTTTAACCAATGTTCTGGTTACAATGACAGTCTTGATATGCAACTGAAACTGACATGGTTTTTAAGAGACTGGAGTTTGGAGTAGACACTGCTTTGACAGAGTACATTCTTATGGCAGAGCTTACATTTTGCAGCCTTGCCACTGCAAGCTATAGTATACCATCCAGCGGTGAGTTTCTACTTGCCAGGGCTACATTTGTACTTGCCAAGGGTTAGTGGCAAGTTAATCTTGAGCTTTGATTATGGCATGGATCATTGTAAAGCTGTTTTATCAGCACTAATCAATGGGGTTAGGCCAGATTAAGCACATTGCTTTCCAGTTCCTGTTGAACTACAAATCCCATGATGCTCTGTCATTATATTACAAAGAATCAAATGAGTAATACTGCAGCTGGGAGTCATGTCTTGGTTTGGCCATAAAAGAACCCTCCAATAATCATGACTACAGTGACTTGTGGTTTAGGCTGCAAGTAGTCACCTGGTGCGTCCCAATGAAAGATGTCAAACTGTTCACTAACTTACCTGGGATGCACTGAACTAAGCCTGGCTGTGCAGGGCTTGGCTCACTGGCTGAAAGTGATCTGCTGCTGATTGGCTCTGGCAACCTAGTGGAATCTCCTTACGTGAGCTTTAAGTTCAGTGTGGAAAGTGGTGGTGGTTAATGGGTCCCAGGGAAGTGGGATAACTACAGTCTGCTGTACAGTGAGTTTTTTTTTTTTTATTATATATGCTTGGTGTTACTTATGTAGCTGTTAAAAACACAATCGCTTGCAACGTGTCTACGATTTAAGCAGTGTTTTTAGATGGGATGAAATGGTTGCTTTGTATAAGTAAGAAATATCTTTTTAGATCAATTGTGCTGGACAGATTTTGACATGTCTGACTATAATGCTTTGTTCACCAAGCCAGATACTGTAAAATAGGTTTGTTTTTTAAAACTTCTAAGCTCCCCATATTACACTATAGTCTCCTGTAAACTTTCCTCATTCCAATAATGTAATTCTGTCTTGTATTAAAAGATGAGTTGAGAATGTGTTTTTTGACTTGTTTTAACACATCATGCTGATAAAGATTTGATTTTAGTGTAAAATAGTCCATAGTTGTAGAAGAACTCACCTATGCTGGAATGAAAGATTGAACTTGTTACTACAGCTCTGTCCATATCCTTTGACGCTTCCTAACCCCCTCCTCGCACTATTCCTCCAAGATAGCAGAGTCCCAGCAACCGCTATCTAACTACACAGCTGTAAAGGAGTGAAATTTGCTAGCACTGACGTGACCACGTTTAGGTCTGCTTCTTTGTTCGATTATGCGCAGAGCGCACTGCGTGTTTTTTTTTTTTTTTTTTTCTTTCTTTCTTTCTGTTCCATACACCGATGGATTTTGCAACATTGGAAGCAATCTATGCCCATACAGTCACATGTCTGCTAGAACACAAATGCAACAAGGAAAATCATACTTCTATTTAAGGCTTTTTTTTTTTTTTTCTCTTTCATAAATGAAAAATTACTCAACATTTATTGCAAAGATATATAATCAAATTTTTTTTTTTGGGGAGGGAAGGAAATTAAAAATGCTTTTAAAATTTTTTTTTGTAATTGTATCATGTTAAAATGCTTTACATCTGTGTTAAACCATATTCTAATAAACATGCGTATAATACACGGTTCATTACAATCCCATAATGTAACTGGAAACTAATGAAAGTGTAGACCTATTAGACTGGTTAAACTTTTATTTATTTTATTGTAAATTTCTGAAAATCTGCAAAAACATTCCTTATGCTAAACATGGTTTATGAACATCTGTGTATGTTGCGTTTTTAAAACATAAAAAGTTTAATTTATTTTGTGTGTGCAAATAATCTAAAACCAAAACATACGAACCTTGCACTTGATTACTTCCTACATTCTTTGTGTGAGCTCTGGACTCCTATGTGTATAACATTGTAGGATTGTACATATGGGATAATGGGTAAGTACCGTGTTTCCCCGAAAATAAACCCTAGTCGGATTTTCGGGGTGGGCTGCAATATAAGCCCTACCCCGAAAATAAGACCTAGGCATTGTACCTTTGCGGCGAGACTTCCTTCTTCTGCTGTAGGAGGAGCGTCGCGCAACGTGATGACGACATTTTGCAGCGCCGTCAGTCTGCCTTCACGGATTTTCAGCGGAAGGATCCATTTCCGGGCGGTGAGGCTCCCAGTGGTCGGACTCGGCAAGGAATCTTTGAAATGTGAGTACCGCTAGATATTTTATGTCTGGGATTAATTGAATTAATTAAAGGGGGTGGGGGGGTGAATTAATTAATGGGTGGGCTGGATTAATTAGAGGGGGGTGAATTAATTAAAGGGTGGGCTGGATTAATTAGAGGGGGGTGAATTAATTAGAGGGGGTGAATTAATTAAAGGGGTGGGCTGGATTAATTAGAGGGGGGTGAATTAATTAAAGGGTGGACTGGATTAATTAGAGGGGGTGAATTAATTAAAGGGTGGGCTGGATTAATTAGAGGGGGTGGATTAATTAGAGGGGGTGGATTTATTAAAGGGGGGGGTGGATTAATTAAAGGGGGGGTTCAATGTACATACCGGTACCGTAAATAAATAAGCCCTACCCTGAAAATAAGCCCTAGTGTGTTTTTTGTGACTAAAATTAATATAAGACCCGGTCTTATTTTCGGAGAAACACGGTATCCAGCAATCAACAAGTTACATTTGTAACCTATGTTTATATGTTAGTCACATCCCAATGTTAGAAATGAACTTATTTTTAACACTGGGTTGCTTCTCTTTGTATTATATGTAAAGTTAAACTCCCCCTCCAAGTACTGAGACAATCTAGCTTCAGCATAATTGTCCCTATAGATGGTATCTGGTGTAGCCTAAAACGCCCCATCGCGATGCATTGGCAACGTAGGGCACATGCGCATCAATTGTCACATTTGATCAATATAATTGCACTGAAACTAACAAACACTTGTTTAAAAGCAGGTGCGTAAACACTCCTGACTCTATTGCCTGCTGGGAGGGTATTCCTACAGCCATTTGTAAAAGTGACAAACTCTATTACCTTTGCCTAAAAAAAAAAAAAAAAAAAAGTCTTCACTAGAGTGTACCTAGTGGTTGGGTGATTGACAGTCACTAGAGGAACACTGCCTTACAGGAGATGTAATACGTTACATTTCTCACAAACATCAGTCTCCAGGGACAACATCTAGACACCAAGGCCATTGCATTAAAAGGACACTATAGGCACTCCGACCACTTTATCTCAAGGAAGTGGTGTGTTTGGGACCCCCTTCCTTTTAATCCTGCAGGTGAAAACATTGCTGTTCTGCAGAACAACAATATTTTCAGTGCTGGTTTTAAATGCCTCTCAAAGGCGGTCAGTCGCTAGAGGCGCTTTGGATGAAATTGCATGCACACTAGCCTTGCTATACTTTCCTATGGGAAAATATTGGATTGACTGAGATCATCAGTAGCGGCCATGCACCACAGGTTTTCCACACATTGCACAAATGGTTGACCCTTACAACATGGCCTTATGTACAATGGTACAGTGTGAATTTTCTGGACCCCCAAAGACCACTTCATACAGAACCACCAATATGTATTTGTTTGAATTTATTGTGTGCATATAAACTTTGCATGACTAATATAAATACTGTGTTGTGAACAGATAACATGTCCTGATCGAATTGATTTTCCACCGTTCTTTTAATTTTTATTGACTGTTTTGGAGGTTCCCTTCACAATTTTGATCAACAATAAATGATATGCATCATTTGTCTATAATGTAGTTTTTGGAAGAATGTATTGAGGGAATTCATAAATTAATTAAATTTGTACATATTGGTGAGAATCCTCGTGCATGGTTTTTATTCATTTATTTGTAGTTGTAAGCCTGTGAATCCCATCTTTAACAAGGCATTTGAAAGGATGTATCAAGGGAAGCAGGGATTTGCGCAATACTTTGTTTCCATAGCAACCAGCCTTATGGAAGACTAGCAAAGGTGTGGGTGGAGGTACGTCTGCTCCATTCAGCTTAAAAAAAAAGTAAAAAAAAAAAAAAAACAACAAATTTCAATGTCTATATATCGAATCAACAGTGACATTTAAGCCGCTATATCAACTTCTGGATGCACAGACTTCAAATATGTGTTCAGACAATTTTTCTTCTTCAAATGATCATTTTAAATAACAGGCACATTTTTACAGGTGGCAAAATATTGTGTGATGTTCATTTGCAAGCAAAGTAATATGATCATACAAGGATTTGTTATGGGGATACTCCATTCATTGCTGCGCTTCTGTTTTATTAAGTTTTCTTTCAAGAAAGAGAGCTAGCTTAATTTGAGGAAAACCACTAATCAACTAAATGATTTGCACCCCATTGTTTAATCAAAATGGACCTATTAAGTTTATATATATACAATGAGCTCTTAATACAATTCTGATAGGAATAATCATGGACTGCATTAAATTGTAAAGCTACATTGTCATACAATCTAGCCTAACTAAAAACATCCATTTCATACGATACTTGGAATTTGTAAAGTGGAAAATGTTAATGATACCAGCATATTTGACTATATTCCTGCTGCTTTTAAAATGTAAATGTGTTACATATCCTTTAAATGGATATTTTAAGCACCCAAACAACTTTAACTTTAAGAAGCTGTTTTAGTGTATAAATCAGATTTGCCAGCACAGTGTTTACTTTAGAAGCTTTTATCTCCTGCTCTGTTAATTAAACTTTAATTACTCAAAGCAAGCTATAAAGAGCAAACTTTTCAAAGCAGGAAGTTTACACATTAGATCTCTCTTTACAGGAAACGTGCAGGGAGACTGTAAGTCACATGCAAGGAGGTGTGACTAGGGCTACACAAACAAAATAATTTAACTCCTAAATAGGAAAGAATTGAGCAGTAAGACTGCAGGGACATAATCTACAAACCACTCCATTGAGCTAAACATTGTTTTGGTGCTTATAGTGTCTCTATAAGGCTGGATTGTTATGATAAGAGGTCAGTATATTAAAGGGGGTAAAAGCTACGGCACAGTATTAAGATCTGTAGGGGGCCGTACACAAATCTGTGAATAATTTAAAGTATTCTTTCTTAACTAACATGTACTCTATTACCTGACCAAAATAGCTAAAATTGACGAACTCTCCAAGATAGCTCCGCTTACAGTTGAATTCTTGAAAATTCTCACTTCAGTGAATACCCTGATGGTGTAGATAATGATGTGAATTTAGAGACCATTTAAAGGTGAACTGACACTTTTTAAGATTTTTAAAATTATGATTACTTGTATCTCCCAACATGGGGCTGCCTGCTGTCAACGGCGACACCCATAACAGGAGGGCCGTGACAGCCATGGGCGTCCACAGGAATTTTTCTGGGGGGGTGGGGGGGGAAGGCATAATTGTAATCACATCCATGCTTGGTCCCTTTTTGACAGTGTCATGAAGGGGAGGAGCATAGTCATTATCACATAAAGCCAGGGTGAATAGCATTTTCACAACTATGGTGTCAGGAATACATGTTTGTATTCCTGACACTATAGTGTTCCTGTAAGCAAATTAAAGGAACCATTCTGGTCACCATAACAACTTCATACAAATGAAAAAGCCCCTAAAAATGGTTTAACCCCAAAGGCTTCCTCCAGCTCCAGGTCACTCAGTGGTATTTGGCTTCTGAAACAGAGTGTCAGGAAGTACAGATTGACGTCAGGCATGGGTGCCGCTGATTGGCTAGAGTGGACAGTTGACGCTCTAAGCCAATCTCTAGTTCCCGGTTCATAAAAATGTTTTACTTTTTTATGAATGGGGAGCTACTGATTGGCTTAGAGTGCCAGCTGCCCGCTCTAGCCAATCAGCGACACCCCTCCCCAGCGGCCCTCTGTGCTTCCTGACACTCAGTAATTAAAAGTGAACACACCAACACTGATATTTTTTTACCTGAGGAGATGAGAAGGTCCAAAGTTTCCCTGCCAGGCCCAGGTACCAAAGCCTTATAAAGTGGAGGGTTCACTTCACTTGTCCTTTCTGCTCCAATCTCCTTTTCTTCTCCTTCATTTGACACAGTCTTCTTTTTCTTCTGACACTGTCTTCTCTCCTCCTTGGCTCCTTCTGCTCCTTTACCTTTCTGCTCCTTTCGTGCTCCCTCTTATGCTCCTGTCTCTCTCTGATCTTTCTGCTACTTGCAGACCCTTTCTGCTCCTTCTCCTAGTTTACCTTTGTGCTCCTTGCTGTCCCTTTCTGCTCCTTCTCCTACTACCTTTGTGCTCCTTCTGATTCTTTCTGCTCCTTTACCTTTGTGCTCCTTCTGATTCTTTCTGCTCCTTTACCTTTGTGCTACTTCTGCCCCTTTCTGTTCTTTGCAGACCCTTCCTTCTCCTTGCAGACCCTTCCTACTCCTTGCTGCCCCTTGCAGACCCTTCCTTCTCCTTGCAGACCCTTCCTGCTCATTTATGTTCCTTCGCCTACTTCACCTTTGTGCTCCTTTTGTCTCTTCCTGCTCCTTGCTGCTAATTTCAGCTCCTTTCTGATCCTTCTACTTTACCTTTGTGCTGCTTTACCTTCCAGCTCCTTGCTGACCCTTCCTGCTCTTTGTTGACCCTTCTTGCTCCTTGCAGACCCGTTCTTCTCCTTGTTGACCCTTCTTGCTCCTTGCAGACCCTTCCTTCTCCTTGTTGCCCCTTCCTGCTCATTTTTGTTCCTTTGTGCTCCTTCTCCTACTTTACCTGTTGTGCTACTTGCTGTCACTTCCAGATCCTTGCTGCCCCTTTCTGCTAATTTCTATTCCTTCTCCTTTCTGCTCCTTCCTTCTCCTTTCTGGTCCTTCTCTTACTTACTTACCTACCTTCCCCATCCCTTACTTACCTGATCTATAGACTGTCTCCCCCGCATCTCTGCCCCCATATGCCTCACTTCCCTGAACTCTAGGCTATCTCTAGCCTAGGCAGGACAAAACTCAGGCGCCACTCCAACCCAACCCTTCTCCCCGCCCACCTTCTAAATACACACACACACACACACACACACACACACACGCATACACTAGCTAACAGAAACACACACTCGCTAACAGAAACACACACACACTCACTAACAGACACATTCACAGACAAACACACAGACAAACACACACTCACTGGCAAACACACACACTGACAGACACACACACTAACAGACACACACACACACTGACAGACATACACACACACTGACAGACATACACACACACAAACGCACTCACATTAACACTTTTTTTTATTTTTTATTTGCCTCCTTACCTTTGGGAAGGCTGGGGGGGCAGGGGGAATGTCTTTCTCCCTGGGGTCCAGTGGCTGCTGGGCGGGCGGCTGGCGAGGGAGCACTTCCTATGAGCTGTCTGCTCAGCTCCCTCACGCGCCCCAGAGTGAGGCTGGGGTCATATTCCGGCTCCCTGCCTCACTCTGTGGCGCGCGAGGGAGCTCAGCAGACAGCTCAGAGGAAGTGCTCCCTCGCCAGCCGCCCTACCGGCATGTCAGTTAGCCGCAAGGCTAATAAGACATTTGCCCTGTGCATTTGGGGGCGGCGTTTTTTGCTGCCCTGTGGAAAATGCCGCCCAAGGCAAATGTCTTGTTTGCCTCGCGGCTAAAACGTCCCTGCCCCCCCCCATATGCCTCACTTGACTGATCTCTAGGCTATCTCTGCCCCCCCATATGCCTCACTTCCCTGATCTCTAGGCTATCTCTGCCCTCACTTACCTCATCTGTAGCCTGCATGTGTTTCTCCCCTGCGGTTTCACTCAGCAGAGAGAAGCAGGGATAAGATGCAGCTTCCTATCCCTGTCTCTCTCCATACACAGCGCCACCTACTGGCCGGCACCATTGCACTGTATTTTCAATCTCACATGAAAATTAGCAGAACAAGCTGAAAAATGCAGGGGGAGAGGGGGGGGCAAGTGCCTGCCCTTGCCCCCCCGTGGACGCCCATGGTGACAGCCTCTCAGGCCAGCCCCTTACTGATAGCAATGCTGAGTGTTCTAGTGTCTGCTGCACGGCCCAAGCACCTGAAGCCAGCTTGGCTCTCTGTTACAAATTATAATTTACTCTGTTAATTATTTGCGCCATATGGACAAATAAAGGAAGGGGCACCGCAAGGAGCGCAGCCCCCCTCATGATCCAGCCGCCTGTGCGCTCTATAGAGAGCCTGAGGCAGCTGCAGCACTGCACTGCACTGCGCGTCCATGAGTGCAAGATATGAGGGATCAGCAGGAGGGAAGCGCACAGCCCTCCCTCCTGCCAGTCCCTCAGTGTAGCGTGGCCGAGCTCCTGTCTGGTCCGCGGTACAGGAGTGAGCACTTCCTGTAAGTCCGGCCGGGTACAGAAAACAGAAACCCCTGTACCGCGGACCAGACCGGAGCTCGACCACGCTACACAGGGTGGTGGGGGGGGGGGGAGAGTGGGTGAAGAGGATGGTAGGAGAGACCAATGCTCCGTTTAAATGTTAATAGAATGGAAATAATTTTAAACACAGACACTAGTGACAGAGAAGACTAAGTAATTAATTTTACTCTCTAAATTTTACAAGGTCCCATTGTAAGTAAGGGGTGAAATTGAGTTTAGACATGTCAATTTTAGAAATTACGATCAAAGTAGTTGCCACAAAGACTGAGACAAACGCTTTGAACTGACAGCAAATTTAAGTTATGGTAGTAATTTTAGATAAGCCAAATGACGTCAAAATAGTAATCAGGAAAAGTTAACTCTTTCCTGGATAGGAAGGTTTAGTGAGGCGAGACTGCCCTCTATGGATCAAATACCTAAATTGCAATCTGCAGGTTGAACACACCTTCAGTATCCTATTGGCCTTATCAACTAATGACGTACAGAGAGTCTGGCCCTTTAAAAGTTAGGACAAAGGGAAGAGAGAGGTTAGTTGGTAGAGTTTGGGCATTCAGATTCGGACATGCAGAGAGAGATTCAGGACACTCTCTTTGGGACTAACACTCAACTATCAAACTCTCTTGGACACAACTCAAGAAACACTCCTTGACATTTTGAATTTTACTCTGACTTTCTAACCAACATCACTTTTCTCTATTACTTACACACCTCCATACAACCAGTCATACTTGCATTTAAGTTCCTGGGACTTCCTACTCATCTGATGAGAATACCTACATAACTAGTAATTATGCTGATTTTATTTAATTAATTTAAATTAATTAAAATTTACTAATAGCATGATATATGACTGGATAAATCATGGTCAGATTTCAATATTTAGAAATCTTAGTTAACTAAAGAATATATAGTTATAAACATTCCATTCTGCAGGTGGAATTAAGAATAATTATATATTAATGTGATATTATCACGTGTTAGCATACCGCTGTTTTTATCCAGGTGTATTGATTTGCTCTAAAAATAAGATATCTTTTTAGGCAAATTAAAATTCGGCTTTTGTAAAAGTCTGGTAGATTATTCTTATTGGATGGTTCCAGGAAATGATTAATGAGCTGGTTTGAATGTAATTTTAATTGAAAATTACATGAGAATATGATATTATATGCCTAGGAGGATCTAGCCAGCATTGAAAGGGTTACTCAGTTGATTTAATGGTTAGCCAAGGTTTTATGGCTTTTCGCTGTGTGAAGTTTTGCTTTCTTTGTACTGTGTCTAAACATTATCACTGCATACTTATGTTATACTAAATATTCACTGATTATTATCATGCATGCTCCTAATATTATTATTTTATTTGTCACAATAAATTATATCTATTTTTATAACAATTTGTGATTTTATTTGTATGGAATACATTTCACTTACATGATAACGATGTCTAAGATCTAAGAGAATTGAAATAGTGGGCAATTCTCGACTGTTTAATATTATCATCCCATAAATATCCCCACAATGGGGGGGTAGGAGAGAGCACTAAGGGATGGGGGAGCACCAAGGGATGGTGGGGGATGGTAGGAGAGAGCACTAGGAGATAGGAGGGGAGAGCACTACGGGAAAGGGGACGGGGAGATCACTAAGGGACAGTGGGGATCACTAAGGGACAGGGGAGGTCACTAAGGGACAGTGAGGCAGAGGAGAGCTCTAAGGGACAGGAGGGGAGAGAGGCTGAGGAAGGAGGGAAAGAGAAGCACAAAGGGCTGTGGGGTAGGCTTCAGCCCCTATCCTACCCCACAAACTCTCTTTTTCACACTACACAAACAATGCTTCCCTATACATACACAGAAACACACAATGAATCTCTATACACACAGAAACACACGGGGGGAGGGGGATCAAATTTTCTTTTGCCTAGAGCGGCAAAAATCCTTGCAGCGGCCCTGAATGCAGCCCTAGCCACACCTCCCCTAGCTCTGACTGACACAGCCTGCATGGAATAAAATAATTTTAAATCAGATCTCGTAGCATAGTGTGTTTATTTAGAAGTTCTTATCTCTAGCTCTGTTAATTGAACTTTAATCACACGCAGGCTCCTGCAGGGTCTAGAAGGTTATGAACAGAGCAGGAGATAAGAAATTCTAAATTAAACAGACTGTGCAATTAAGAAAGTTTAAACATTATAATCGTTTTATCAAAGCTATCTTGCTATTATTATTTTTTTACTGTTAAACAATCGTTTGTCAAAGCTACCTTATTATCTTTCTATGTTGTTATATCAAACAGACGGTGTAATAAAGGAAGTGTAAACATTAAATAACTCTTAACAGGAAGTATTTATAAAGGCTGTGTAAGTCACATGACTAGAGCTGAATAAACAAAGTGATTTAACTCCTAAATCACAGAGAATTAAGCAGTGAAACTGCAAGGGAATGCTCTATACACACAAAACTGCTTCATTAAGCAAAAGTTGTATTGATGCTTAGAATGTACCTTTAATGAGCTTTATTAGAATAATTAGAATCTAGTGATTTAAAAAGACATAATAACCACAAAGGTTGTAAGAAAAGGAGTAACTCGAAGTGCTGAATCTCTGTCTGGATTCATAAGGAAAAACTACCTAGAAAACCCTCTGTGTTTCCCCACTTCAAAACACTACGATTCTGGTTATTTTAATTGGCAGTGTGATCAAAGATCCTTCTTCTGATACCAGAGACCCACGGCTGACAACCATGCAAGCTCTAGTGCATGCAACCATGCGTGCATCGTGAAGATTTTATTTCCTGCTCATTGCTCCATATTTAGAACCTTACACCATCATTTCTATTTTTTTGGGGGGGGGATGGGGGGACAATCAGAATTTATTTTAAGCAATACAACTACATATAGGGAGCATACATCAACAAAAAGTGTAAAATAAAAGAGATGTTGGTATAAAATTGCATTTTTTTTTTATTTTTTTGCACATCAAAGTGAAAAGATGATTGTACCCTAAACATGATGGAAAGCAATTAAATGTACAACTACCGTCTAATACTCTCATGGTGATTAATAAGTCATGAGTGAACGGGCACGGCTGCCATCAGAAATTTTGGAACTGCTTGCAAAAACTTGTTCTGCCACTAACCCACACACTGCCAGACATACACACACAGATTGCCAGACACACCCAACCTTAATCTCCAGTCAGCCGGATTGTATCCGCTTCCCTTCTCAGTCAGAAAATACCCCTTGTCTCCCTCCCTTGTCATATTGTCCAGTTTTCCAGCTCTCCCCCTTCCCTTTTCACTGTCTCCAGTTTACTAAACCTCTTATCCCTCGCCTTCTCACAGCCAGATCCCCTGCCCCATCCCTTCTCACCACACCCAGTAAGCCGCCCAGTCAGCCATATTGTAAGAGACCCAGAGGGGCAATATGACATTACGCCATTTCACATCCTCAGTCACTGTTATCAAAGCCTCGACTGTACTGCTGTGCAGAGTGAGAAGCACAACCTCTTCTCTAATAGGAGCCTAGCTGTCCTACCTTGTGATAGTGGGAGAAATAAATATATGTTAGTATATTGCAACCTTTCAACCCTGTGTCATGGTAGTAAACCCCAACATGCAGTATATAAACCCACCCTTAGCTGGATAGGAAGGTATAAGAATGCATCGTTTGGTTAACACATAGCGCAGAGAGAGCAATAATTCCTCACAAACAATCCAAAATTAGGGGCTTCCATTTTGCCGCCCCATCATGAAATAGTGGCAGTTCGTGTCAAAAGTTTTTTCACTACACACCAAAATAAGAAGATCTTATTCCAGCTAAGACTTTACTATTTATATCTTATTTCACTTTTATTATATATTATACATTTTACAAATTATATTTCTCACTTATATAGCGCAGCCTTTTTTATCTGTTTTTTTTATCTTTATCATCTCTGAGGGTTCTTTGAGGGTTCTCTATAGGTTGCAGCTGCATTGTTATTTAGCGCTTACTCTTCCTCCTTTTACACCAAAAGGAAACATTACACTTTAAAAAAACTATTTATACCCCCAAATAAATTATGCTTTTATTTTATTTTTATTTTTTTTTGCATTTTTATGCAGTATTCCTCTCTCCTGGCAAAACTAGTATTTATACACTTCCTCTCTAATCAACTTTTACACGTTTTTTTCCCCCTTCACTTGTATTTCCATCTCTGTAGACTCCACTCTGTTTCATCTTTCCAGTCTATCACTGTTTTGTCTTTTTTAAGTGTCTCTCTCCGTTTTCACAGTGTTCCCTGTGTTCCTCCCCCCCCAAATGGGTCTGTTTATTAAATGGTGAGTTGAAAAATGAAGCCAAAATAGAAAAGTTGGAAAAAGTATCGAACTCAGCTTTCGCACTCTTCCTCTGCTTTTCACTGATTTCTGCAGCTTGAAGAAGCTTCAGCAAGCAGAGCAAGCCTCCTCCATGACGCCAACATTGGCCGGTGTCTGTACCAGTAGTGTATTTTGGATTTGTGTTGCCTTAGGCACGACTAAATTCGGGCACCCCCAAA